TTTTGGTCTCCTGAAGAAAGGAAAGAAATTCCAATGGGACGGTCGATGCCAAGCTGCTTTTGAACAGATCAAGGAATACTTACAGACCCACCTGTGTTGTCACCGCCTGAGCCGGGGAAACTGTTGATTTTGTATCTTTCAGTGACTGAAACTACAATGGGCTGCATGCTCGCGTAAGAGTCTGAGGACAAGGTGGAGAGGGCTATCTACTATTTGAGCAAAAAGATGCTGGAGTATGAAACTCGCTACACACTGTTGGAAAAGGCTTGCTTAGCCTTGGTATGGGCTACCAAGAAGCTGCGGCACTACCTGTTAGCTCATTTTGTAATATTGGTTTCAAGATTAGGTCCCATCAAATATCTCTTTGAGAAACCGGCACTTATGGGTAGGCTAGCTCGTTGGTTGTTGTTGCTTTCCGAATTCGATCTGAAATATGTGACACGCAAGTTAGTCAAGGGAAGAGCAGTAGCGGAGTTCTTAGCCGATCATCCAGTGGAAGGAGGTGAAGCAGTTGAGTACTTATTTCCATATGAGGCCATTTTGCATATCGAGGATGAAACCTGGACGATGTACTTTGACGGAACGTTAAACCAGTATGGATATGGGATAGGGGTGTTGCTGATGGCACCCGACAATTCCCGCATCCCTCTAGCATTCAAACTCCATTTCAAAGTATCGAACAACGAAGCAGAATATGAGGCGTGCATTGCCGGTTTAGAAGTAGCCCTGGAACTAGGGGCAAAATAGTTGGACGTCATCGAGGACTCGAACCTTGTTGTATCTCAAGCGAAAGGAGACTCGAAAGTCAAAGAAGAAAAGATGATACTCTATCATCAGACCTTGGACCTGCTGATCCCTCGGTTTGAGAAGCTAAACTTTGCTCATCTGTTAAGAGAGAACAACAGGTTCGCAGATTCACTAGCAACTCTATCTTCCATGATAGACATCCCTTTCGGAGTCCGGATGCTTCCGATCATCATTGACCATAAATTTGCGCCAGCCTACGAGTCGATTGCTGCTATAGATGAGGTTCAAGATGAGAACCCCTGGTACTACGATGTCTGGAACTTCTTGGAAAAAGAGGCGTATCCACCAGGGGCAAATGCCTAGGATAAAAAGGCAATCAGAAGAATGGCCATTCAGTTCATCATCTGCGGGGGTAAATTGTACAAGAGAGGTCATCTGGGAATGCATAAGCAGTGCGTTGATGCCGAAGAATCGAAGCGCTTAATGGAGGCCATCCATGGAGGAGAGTGCAGAGTGCATATGAACGGGGTAATGTTAGCTCGGAAGATCCTCAGACAGGGTTACTACTGGTCCACCATGGAGGAGGATTGTATCGGCTTTGTTCGGCGATGCCACAAGTGTCAGATCTATGCAAACCGCATGAACGTCCTGCCGTCGAAGCTGTACAATATGACTTTGCCATGGCCATTTTCAGTTTGGGGAATCGATGTGATCGGTGCTGTCACTCCGAAGGGGTCTAATGGGCATGAGTTCATTCTGGTTGCGATAGATTATTTCACAAAGTGGGTTGAGGCCCAATCTTATGCAGTGTTGAAGGCTTCGCACGTTGCAAAGTTCATCCGAAACAACATCATCTGTCGCTACGGGGTCCCAAACGAAATTATTTCAGACAATGGTTCCCACTTCAAGAAGAAAGTGATTGATTTGCTGGAGAAATACAATGTGGCTTTTCATAAGTCATCCACCTATCGGCCGCAAACCAATGGAGCAGTCGAGGCCGCCAACAAGAACATCAAACAAATCTTGTAGAAGATGGTGGAAACCTACCAGGACTGGCCAGATAAGCTGCCATTTGCTCTGTGGGGCTACCGGACTTTTATTAGAACCTCCACCGGGGCGACTCCGTATTCATTAGTTTACGGGATGAAGGCCGTTCTACCTATTGAAATTGAGGTTCCGTCATTGAGAGTGCTGGTTGAGTGTCAGATAGCCGAAGCAGATTGGCAGCAGAGCAGATTTGAAGAACTCATGCTCTTTGATGAAAGAAGACTGAAAGCATTGTACCATATCCAGGGTTATCAACGGAGAATTGCCAGGGCTTTCAACAAGAAGGTTAAGTCCAAGAATTGGAAAGAAGGAGATTTGGTGCTCAAAGATAATTGAGCTCCCATCCACGACCCTAGGGCCAAGTTCAGACCCAATTGGACTGGTCCCTACATCATCAAGTCTATCTGGTCAGGTGGAGCTGTCGTTCTGATGGACCTAGATGGCCTAGAGTTCTCCCAACCGATCAATATGGACAAGTTGAAGAAATGTTACCCCTGAGTGGCTCGCTAGGCCGAAAACCCGAAAGGCGACCTAGGCAAAAGTTAGAGCATGAAAAATTTGAAATTAAAAAAACTGAGCTTGCAAGGTTGAAAACCCGTAAAGGGCGGCATTGGCAAAAGTTAGAGCGTAAAAGGAGAGTGAAAATACTCGAGTGAACCCAGGCCTGAACTACGTAAGGCTTGATTCCCATCTTTGGGATACGTAGGCAACTTCATCCTGAAGTTCAGCCATAAACTTTTCCCCGATAACTTTGTCCATTTGATCATCTCTGTCATCTTTGTCCATTCAGTATTTAAGAGCTTCGGTTGTGATCTCCGGTGCAGTGCTATTCAGACTAAGGGCAACTTTCCAGTTGCTGGAATCCAGGGTTGTGCATCTCAGTGACAGATCTCAGGCGTGTCCAGTTCTTATCCATATCGAAAATGGTTTTGAAAAGTTTTAATAAAAGTTGATTTTGCTCAAATTAATTTTTTTTACAACTTAGACCATTTTTGGACCAAAGCGGAAAATTTTTAGTACCCACAACCATTAATTTCATTGATTTCAATACAGAGTTCTCCGGCTCTTGCATACAAATTGAAGTTTCTTTTTATTACATTCATAAAGAAAACTTGAAAGTACTAATAAAGCAATAAATCCGGGGCATAGATAAGTCAGGTGTTCCTGCGCCCCCTCCCAGAGCTGGTCGAAGCCTATGATGCCAAGCTGGGCCCAACCTGTGCCTCTTCATTGAGCCAATCTACGCACTCGTCAGACAAAGCGCAATTGAAAGTGGGAGCGGGGGCCAGGAGCTCTCTAGTCCTCCATGCTGTGGCATACCGAGCAAGCTGCGCGCCTCGGACCGAAAATGCAGCTGGGTATTCTATCTCCTCTGGCGGGCAAGTCTGATCATGGCCGAACTGGCGTTAGAACTGGAAAGGAAAGTAAAACACGCAGTGCATCAGACTAATCAACTGAACCCCAGTCTGCCGGGACGTGCTATAGCTCATTGCCGGTAGATTGAGCCAAGGACAACGCCAAGCAATGCGGTCTGCGGACAAATTGTACATCTAATCGAACCACCATCCCTCATCCAGGGCATCGACTAGACGTTGACGGAAGAAGTAGCTGCGAGCTGAGTATGCTGGGCAAGAATTCACAACCTGCAACTTATCCATCAACCACACCTGGGGAGAGATAAAAAAATGAGAGATTAAAGAATAAAGAGATGTATGATGAGAGAAAAGTGAGAAAAGGGCCTTGTGAGAAAAACCGAGCTTGAGGGGCGAGTGATGTGAGCAATGTATATGTGAAATAAGATGGGAAACATTACCTGAAGCAGTAGTGGACTCCCCGCAAATCTGGTCATCTCTCGGCGGTGAAAAGCATCCAAGCCCATCAATGTCTCGGCCAATGACATGGCGATGCAGTTTTTTCCCTCCCTTAGGCCTTGGGCAACCTCGATCAATCGGACACTAGATCCTCCAGAGCCTGAGGCAAGCAAGAAATGAGATAGCATGCACAAACAAAGGGCATGTTGCCGAAAGCCTTGCCAATGATGGTCACCGCGGTCACCGGCGTCGGAAAACCGACAAATCAAACTCGGAATATCCAGCATTCCGTCACGAATCAAAGATCAAGCGTCGTGCATAGTGAGCCCACACATTCGTCCTAAGGCTTGAGCATGGCCGAAGCGGAGTTAGGGCAAGATCTCCTCGTTGCGCTCGGACTCCATCAAAGCTTGGAAATCTTCGAAGGTTGGATACATCTCTTGCCCGCAAAAGCTAAAGACATGTGTTACCGGATTCCAAAACCTCGCCACGGCATGGAGAAAGGGAAGATGCAGTGGAGTGCGGCTCAACGTGAATAGTGCATTCAAGCCGAAGCCCTGGAAGTTCAACTTTTCCAAGCCGTCTAAAGTAGCAATCCAAGCTGCGAGATTTTCGATGAGGAATGCCTCATTTTTGATGCAAAACTGAGATGAAATGAAAGAACCATGAAGTTGGAACTTTTATAGAGGATAAGGCACTGTTTGGGGACACGTGTCAAGAATCTGGTGGTCGCCAAACCAGGTGGTCGGCCGACCACTTTTTCTGGTAGGCCGACCATCCCTTTGGTCTCCAAGGAAAGCAGCTGGTCGGCCAGCCTCCTTAGGTGGTCGGCCATGGAGGAAAGCAGGGCTTTGGTCTTGTCCTAGCTTCTAGGAGAGAGTTCCTAGCCTTTCCATGCATTGGGAGTTGTTGAAGGTCCGTATTTTCCTCGGTTTCGGACGCATTCTATCGCCCGTTTTGTCCGAATTGCATTTGTTTTATCGAGTTGTCGTTGAGTTTTGTTTATCGAGTTGTTGTCGAGCTTTGTTTATCGAGTTGTTGAGTTTTGCTTATTGAGTCGAGTTTTTAAGTTTATCGAGTTGTTAAATTTTATCGAGTTGTCAAGTTTCGCCCGTCGAGTTGTTACTCTTTGTTTATCAACATTTGGCGGGATTTGCTTATTGAGTTGTAAACTTGCTAAGGTGTTGTTTCTTAGCGAGTTAAGTTGTCTAGTTTTGTTGCGTCGGTTCACTACCTGACTTAGTGATGCACAATACTCAATTTTCATTCAATCTCATTTTTGTGGAAAATGATGCGATGCGATGCTAAGAACATAAAATACAACACCTTTTGAACAAAGAGCTGTTTCATTCCATCATAGTTCTTTTTACAACATTTTACAACAAGGGTACAGGTTTTTACAGAAAATAAAACTGCCTAACAAAGCTAATGTGCTACAACTACTAGTAAAAAAGGAAAGTAAAGTAGGAACATCTGCATTCGTGCTATCAAGCGCAAGAATGAGAGGCCCTCTTCATCCTCTTCTGCGGAACGACCTCGGTATCAGTACCATCATCTGAGTCGGAGCCGCCATCCTCGGCATCGTCTCCACTCTCAGAACCGGAGCCGGAGTCCTCCTCCCTGCCTGCGGATGTCTTTGACTGAGGATGCGTGGACTCCTCCTCCTCGCTAGACTCCTCATCTATGATAGGTGCTCTGCGCCTGCCCTGTCTACGAGTCGAACCCCCTCTCCCAGGTCCTCGAGAGGGCCTGGATGGCCCAGCCTGTGGCTCAGCCTGTAGCGGAGGCATTTGAAAAGGAAGAGTGCAATTTGAATTCATTAGCCAATATGTATATCAGATGCAGAGACAAGATTGCTACATAGAGTGGGTGTGTGCAGATATAATGTATGAATGTGGTGTATGTCAGATGTACTCTACATATACAGTCAACCAATGCAGTGAAATGGTCAAATACAGCATGTCATTAGAAGTTCGATAAATGCAAGAAATTTGAAAAGTACCGAAACACCGGCGATGAATAGCTGCGTCTCTCTCCGCAGGACCATGCCCTCGAGTGAGGCCACCAACCCGAGCAACCCCTCAGTATACTCGCTGGGAGGCGGCAGATGCAAGTGCAAGTCATCAGTAAATGAATGAATGTCCAAATATCTGAGTGATAAATAAAAAATGTAAAGCATACCGGTGGCGAGTCAGGGTCTCTGACATATCGATGATCAGGCATAGGAGGCTCTATGGGAATCGGGTAGAATGACCCGTATCGCCATCCAGTCAACTCGGTCAGAATATCTGGCCATCCAACATGATAGTAAGTCGGAGGAATCGGAGGAACCAGTCTAGCCCCACCTCTCGATGTGCCGGCCCTGCTGGTCAAAGGAGCATCTGTAGCCCGGACTCGAGTCGATGGTGGCATGCCAGCAGACCTCCTCGTGGGAGTGCAGACACCTGTCAATGGGAGCATCAAGTATGTATGACGGTAAGTCGCGTACTCCCCCTCCTCCAAATGTAGAGCTACATCAGTGCCCAGCATAGCCAAATCAACCTCCTGGGGAGTGAGTCCCTCAGTGGACCGCATGTCGTCCGGAGGTGCTGCGGGGATACTCTGCTCGGGGTAGCCCATCGTCTGGCGTAGGAAGCGGTCCCCCAGAACCCAGGCCCTGCCAACTGGCCCCTCAAATAGGATCCTGTACCGAGAAGAGGCCCACTCCCCAACAAACTGAAATCGGGTATCTCCACCCAAGGGCGCCCAGGGCTTCCATGTGATCTGCGAATAACCAATGCATAAGCCGATTAGAAATCGTAAATGTGCAAGATGAATCAAAGATGAAAACATGGAGAACTGAGAGTTCTGAATTACCTCGGTCGGCTGCACCGTATCGAAGAACTGTCGCAGATAAGGCAGAGTCTCCCGGGCTCTCGGTCGGTACTGGCCCTCAAATACAAGCGAGTAACGAATCACAAGAGGCGCCTCCACCTCGAGCTCTGGGGCTAATGTCGAAAAATATGCTAAAACCCATAGCTGTGGAAAACAGGGCAATAGCTATCAGAATACAGCATGTACAGAGAATGCAGAATGCTGAGAGTAGAGTGCAAAGTATAGAATGTAAAGTGTGCCGTGTGTGCAGTGCACAGGTAATGAAAGGTAGAAATGTAAATCAAGAGGGCAGAAAGTACCTCCCAGGCTCTCCAATAGCTGCCGACTATGTTCCCCCGCCCGCGGGAGGTCACACTCATGTAACAATAAAGGGTAGCGAGGCCGGCGCCACCCCAGTCATACTGACTGACCTGTGATAGGTCCACTAGAGCACTGAGAAAATATAGGTCAACTGTGTTCCCCCTGTCGGAGAACAAAGTGGTCCCAAGGAGGAACATTAAAAAACCTCGAGTGTACTACTCTATCTCCTCGAGAGTCTCGGGCATAAGCCTCCTATAATGCGAGGAAAACCAGGTATACCTATCTCTACCTGAAGATCTGCCAGTTGGCGGACGGGCTCCTAATAGATGAATCCAGGCCGCCTCCCACTCGTCCATATCTGCATCATATGGGATCGGCCGGCCTCTCACGTCAAGGCCCGTCAGCACGACAAAGTCAAATGGGGTCATCGTCATGTCCCCAGTGGCCGAGAAATGAAAGGAGTTGGTGGTATCCCACTATCTCTCCACGAGTGCCCCCATCAGCATCCTGCTCACAGGGTAGCGAGATATCCCTGCGTAGAAGGGTCCGAACCCTGCCTCATCAACCAGATCACAAACGGTCTCTGGGAGTTCTGCGTGCCACTCCCTAGCGATGATCGAACCATAACCCCGTGTAACACGGAAGATACCTGCATTCAGAATGAACAGATGTATTCAATCTCAAAATGAAAGTACGAGCTGTGTGCAAATCAAATCAGATACAACGTTGTGGACTGCGTGTTCAGTATGAGTTGCGTGCAAATGCAATGAGTGGGTTGTGTGTTCACCCTCAAGAGTTTGAGCTGCGTGTTCAACTTTCAAAAACTGTGGGCTGTGTGTTCACCTCAAGAGTTTGGGCTGCGTGTTCAACTTTCAAAAAACTATGGGCTGTGTGTTCGCAACAAAAGTTTGAGCTGTGTGTTTAGATTTCAAAAATGTGGGCTGCCTGTTCACAACAAAAAGTTTGAGCTGCGTGTTCAGAAATTCAAGTGCTAGAGCTGTGTGTTCAAAATGCAAACAGAATGCTGTGTTATAGACTGAGTGTTCAGAACAGGCTGTGCGCCATTTCAACAGAATTCCATGTCATGAGCTATGTGCTAAAAAGAGCAAAGTCTGGTTATACATGAGCTGTGAGCCAGGTGGACCAGATGGTGTGTGTATGTGTTCAGAATGAGCAGATGAACATATATAGTGAAAATAGGAAATGCGCAAGAAATGCAGAATACATTGCAGAGAATGTAAAAATGAAGTACGTACCTCGTGTGCATGGTGAGAGAGGTGAGACTCCGGCTCCCGTAGCAGAAGATCCGTCGGTGCTCGTCGATCAAAATCCGTAAAATGATAGAAAGTACTCGGGGGAAGGATATGCTCCTGAGGGTCGTACCTCTCGGGATCAAAGGGCCGAATCCTTGGAGGTAAGGACATAACGTCTGGCTCATCCTCGGCACCCGGAGGGCCTCCACCATGAGGGAAATGACCCGCCATTTCAAGAAATCTGCAAAAAGGAGCAAAAATAAGCAAAAAGAGCCAAAATTAGAAAAAGTCAACAAAAGTCAACTCTCGGAAAATGAAAAAGTCAACAAAAGTCAACTCTCGAGAAAATGTTCCAAATGTTGAGACAAACTTACCCCAAGTGGTGAAAATTGAGAAAGAAGCTCCGAAATCAAATTTTAATCGGTCCAAAGTGAAGAAAACTGAAAGATTTCGCGAAACAACTTTGCGTGGGGCGTTGGAAAACGCATATAAAGAGCAGATCTGAGAGAGAAAATGGTCTAGGAAGGAAGGAGAGCTGATTTCGGCCTAGTGGTTGTGAGGAATAGTGATTGGGAAATGTGCATTTAAAGACACAAGTGTGAAAAGACAAAATTGCCCCGGATTTGGCAAGGTGGTCGGCCGACCCCTTTTCCTGGTAGGCCGACCACCCCCTTGCATAGCCCTGGTCGGTGGCACTCTAGGGTGGTCGGTGGCCCTCCTGGGGTGGTCTCCAATGCCTCTTTGAGCTCCCTGCAAATTTTGGTGGTGATCGGAGTCCCCGGCTCTCGAGAAAGTACAAAGAAAGTGCACTTTCCAACGCGAAACGCCTCCGCCGGAACTTCAAACCAAGTCTTCGATGCATGGTTCGTTGCTACTCGCCGAAAGCAAGGTGTATCCTTTTTGAATACGTTGCGACCCCTCCGAGAGGTAAACTGGAGGTTGCGTTTGAGTTGCCCTCGTTGAGGCTTACATTTCTTTGCTCGATGTTTTGTTTCATATATGCTTTTGAAGTCGCACATATCCTGCATTGTTATGCACGTCACTTGCATTGTTATGTACGTCACTTGCATTATTATGCACGTCACTTGCATTGTTACGCACATTTCATCGGCATTGTCATGCCCTTCATGCATAACTTGCGTTGTCGCGCACATTTCCTCTCGCAGTGCGATACACTTTTCCATTGGCATTATGTCTATCCGCGTTTGATGTAACGTTGAACATATGTTGCTAACTATGTTGTGCCTGTTAGGTTTCTCTCTTTTGCAGGCACGATATTGTATGTACAGTTCATTCGAGGCTGGTGCGACCAGACGAACCAGACAGGTATTGTATCTTCTCCGTGTGAGACGTAGTGAGAATTGTAATTCTCTTACATTCTTAAACTGCATGAAATGTAGTTTTGCTTTGCATTCTTGCTTAAAACTGTTGCATTTATTGTGAATATCTGCTTCATTGCAGCTTGCTACTTTGCATGATCATGAGTTACGTTTGGCTTTGTCCATATCATTTTGCATTTTTCCCACGCCTGCGGGCACATCTCTTTGTTTATCTCGCCTGTTTGTCTAAGTCTTCGGCATTGTAAAAAATAGGTCGTCTCTAGGCTTTGACATTCACACCCGTCACTTATGACTTTCGAGTTCTGTCAAAAAGGGGCAACTGTAGACACCCCATTTTTGACCGACCTTAAGACTTAGACGTCATCGATTGAGCACTCGGTGATTGCGCATGTTGTGCTCGTTCTGAGGTTTCGGAGTCTCGGCTGAGAGCCTAGCCCTCGGACTTCATGATTCTTTTGTGCTTTGCCTCAGTTTGCGAACCAGATTCTGTTTTCTCTTCCCGCAGGGAGGGAGAGGTCTCGTAGACCATCTCTCAGTGGCCGTAGGCTAATTTGCGTGGTCGTAGACCATTGTTCCCGTTTGGTGACCAGTTTTTGATTTTCGGAGCCGTCGGCCGTGCGCCTCAGTTCGGGACCGCTTAACTTTCTCCGTTTGCTCCGGTTTTTGGTACACACCTTGTTTCCTCTCTCTAGAGGGACACTGTAGCCCAAAAGACCACCTTTGTGGTCGCACGCCACTTTCGATGCTTAACAGTCAGTTTTCGGGGCCTCAGACCGCACATTTTGGCCCTCGAACCCTCGTTTTGCATCCGTCTTGGTTCATTTTTGGCATGGACCCTATTTTCATTGTTTGGAAGGTGGTACAACGGTGGGAGACCACCTTTTCTCATTGGAGACCACTTTTTCCCCGTCGGCCGATTTCCTTGTCAGGTAGCTGGTCTCCCTCACTTTTGGGCCATAATTGCTGGTCTCCTACCATACCACTTGCTTGCATTGAGTTGGGAGACCACCCTAGGAGGCCACTGACCAGCTTTTGAAGCTTGAACCTTTTGACCCTGGTCGGCTGACAAGGGTAGGTGGTCGGCCGACCACCTGAACTAGTCGGCCAGCTTTCTCATTTTTTGTCTTACTGAGTTGCTTCCAGTTGTGCCAGCTGGGAGGCATTTGCTCCATCCTCCATACACGTGTATGGAGGATTTACCCTCTTGACATGGCATACTTCTGAATTTTTCTGGTTTGGTGACCTCTTGATTGCCTCACATACTTGTAGTGCAAATCCTCTTTACTAGCTTACATTGCATGCTATGTTGACCCTTGATTCTAGCACTTTTTGGCCATGTCGTAAACTGATTTTGTGCATATTTTGGACTACGTTAGCTCAATTTTTGGGTCTCATGGTCGAATGATGCTTGTTTTGCATGCTTGTAGTACAATATCCATGCTTAGCTTTGAGTTTCGAGGTCTATTACATGCATATACTGAAGTGTTTTCATGTTTTGGGGCCATTGCACATCATATTTCAGAGCTTACATGTATGCCATATTCCCATGATTTTCACTCTTTAAATGCGTTTGAGAGTTATGCTTGAATGCCTCATTTACCGACCATTGCATGAGCTTCATTTGAATGCATTCCGAGCTACCATCCCAACACATTTTGCCACTGATTTTGGTCTGCATAGGGACTGTTTGGGGTTGGTTTCATCAGTTGAGCATTGTTTTGCATACCTATAGTGTAATCCATTTCACTAGTTTCGGTATTTGGGTCATCTAGCATGCATCGGGTGAGGTGTTTGCGTATTTTGGGACCATCTTATATGCTATTTCAGAGCTGGAATTTGTGTCATTGTATGCCATGTGTCATCCCTTGCCATGCTTTGGTAGAGTGGCATTCGATGCCTTAGGTTCGGTCCCTTGCATTGGGCATGTTTGCATGAGCGTTCTTGTCTAATTTCAATTGTGTTCGGCCGCTGATTTGAGTGTGGCTGAGGTCCACTCACATTGGTTTAAGTCCATCTTGCCTTGTGTATGCCATTTAGTTCATGTTGTTGCATGTTTGGCCATTGTATTGTGTATGCCTTGATCATCCCATTGATAGTCTTCATCCGTGCATGATAGTCTTCGTATGTGCATTGTGTATGCCATATGGTTCGTATACATTGAGTATGCCATCCTTAGTTCATAGCATTGTGTATGCTAGTTGCATGTTTGCATATCATCCCTCGCATGCCGGCATGATTAGGTTACATTGCATTTAGGGTTGCATGTTAGTCGCATTGTATATGCTATCTTGTTGCATTATGTTTGGAGTAGGGTTAGTCCAAACACGGGAAACGAGGGACGTTTCATACTCAAATTGACGAAACGTGCCTCGATTCTCGGTCGCCGACACTCCGGATTACCTATGATGGAGTTTAGGCCTTGTTGTGTTTTCATATGCATTCATTCCACATTGAGTC